TGAAGCATGTATTAAAAACCAAGGATGGCCAACTAAATATTAAATATTTGATCAAATATAATTTTTATTGATCGACCGGATACTTTTGTTAGGGTAGTGTATCATTGTTCCATGGAATCGAAAAATCTGATACTTTTAAACTTCCCCATATTTTAAGCTTAATAGAGTTGCCTAACAATCCTCGGGATTTTAAAGATGAGATATGGGTAGGTTATCTTAATAAATTTGGAGAAGAATTAGATTATATTTCTGTACCCTATGAACCGCGACCGATGATAAGTGGGACAACACTATCTACTGAAATGGATGCATTAGACGAAACAGATTTTATTTCTGCATTCAGTAATTATATCAGAGAGATTGGCGGGATTAATCCTAATTTAACATGGTTTACAAATAATTATATGCAGTAGCGGAGAATGGGTAATTATTTACCGAGTTATTTTTTCTGGCAAAAGATATAGTATATAATATAATTATTTTACCAATGTTCATAAAAACACTCGTAGAAGGAAAAATCCCAGTAAAAGCGTTAATCGATACAACATCTAAATCTAATACCATTAGCAAGAAGTTTATTCGATAAGCTTGAAGAAGATTATGGAATACGTGATCCTGCTGAGAATCTCTATGGGGGTGTAGTAGGTGTCCCTGTTGAGAATCTCTATAGAGATGTAATAGGTGAAATAAAATGTTTAGATTTGCAATTTCGGTATAAAGGAAAGTGGCGAAGCTTAGATTGTACTGAATTAATAGACTTTCAAATTCGTAAAAATCCATCATTTGATCTAGTGTTAGGACAAGATTGGTTATGGATGCGTAAAGCAAAAATAAGCTTTGGATTTTCTTCTGAAACATGTAGGCACCATGCTAAAATTGTAATAGATGGTATGAGCATCCCATTAATTGAATACAATAGCAGGCCCACAGGCGACTCTTTTAGTCATAACGCCAGTCCCACTAAAAATGACCCACCTATGCTCAATTTATTAATAGATGAGATCACGGATAAAATTGAGAAAATTCTCTCAGATGTCGAAGTTAATAAATACCGAAAGAATATTTCACATGCCTCCTGTACCTTCAGTGCCCAGAAGATTAAATGACGATTTTTTCAAAAATAGCAGAGCTAGCAAGAAAAATAGTGTCAAGCATTCCACGAATTTGGATACTTCTTCTAATTCAGATATTTCAGACTCAAGTGATTAATCCAGATATATTTACATATACAACTCATGATTAAAATTTATTATATAACTACGAGATAATAATTCTAGACTATCCACATAACATTTTTACTGTTCAGAATCGGATAACGGATCTTCAGCCTTCAATCCTCGTCGGGCGCGCGTCAAATCTATTAAAAATAAAATGTTAGTATTACTTATTCTACACGGATTAACAATAAATAAACTATTTAACGATTCTTCCTCGCCTTTTATCACTAGCCTTATCAGGTACCTCGGTTTGACTTTTTTTTGGTTTGGTAAGTCGGATCCGGAAGTTCGAATTTTGAGCATTATTCAAGCCTTGATGAGAGATAGTAAGATCACTATGAATGGAAGTGGAGTCGTGCTGATGATGGAAAAACGTTCCATGAATAAAGTAAACGATGCTGTGCCTTATCCCTCGAGTTACTGGGAAATTTCCGTGCAATAAAAAACGCGATGAAAACGCAACAATTTGTCCCGGACGAAGTGGAACGATAATCTGGAGTTGCGGGAAGCACAGTTTACCTCCCTCGAAATCACCTAAAGCAACCAAGCAACATAAGGAATTTGGTTTGTCGTGCTCATCCCAGTGATAGTCACTGATCGTATTGAAATTAATCGCGATCATAGGGAAGACACCGAATGATTGAGGAGCGAAAGGCCAAGATAAATTTCTTAACTTCATATACAGTACATCTCCCTATAATTATCATAAAGGAACCGGTTGACAGTATCTGATAATGGTTTGAGGTTTAGAAGTAGATTATTTACGCATTCCTGGTGATCGATGTTGTGGTGTGACTAATAAAAGCTATGCGACTCACTTTATCATGTCCAATAAATAACGCGTGACGATTATCGGAAAAAATTGAATATATAGGATCCAATAGCATTGCGAAGCAGAAAAGATTAAATTCGCTAAATACAGTGACTCACAAAACTGGCTCAATGTTTGGAAAAATTAAACGTATAGGCTTATAACTCCACAAATATCCAAC